AATTTATTGAAAAGACTGATGTGAAATTGACTGCTACGAGTTGCATGTACAATTTGGTTATTTTTCGATTTCAAAGAAATTAACCCAGTGGCGTACATTTTCTCAAAAACAAAACTTGTTAACTCTACACATAATAGGTTACTGATACACATCAGTTTTTGCTGAGATTTGATTTAAATAGTCGTGGCAGCCATGCTGCTTTTTATTTTCATGATCCTAAGCCTTTCACAACATTCAATTACAAACTGGGACTATGTCATTAACAATAGCGTTGTTTTTTTTAGATGAAAAATCAAGAAGTGTATTTAGTAATGGCGTCAAGTGGAAAGACGGCAAAGTAACCAATGAAGTGGAGTTAGATGACAACACACAAATCAAATTGGTCAGAAGAGGCGTGGCAAGGTACAATGGATTCAAATCAAATTTGCCAAAAAAAGAATCTTGAAAATACGTTTAACACAATCGCTATAAATATTTCCATTGTAATAATTTGATGTTTGTCTTGAAAGTCACAAAGTACCCTGGGTGTCTTTCTCTCTTTAAGGATATTAGTTTTGAAGTTACTGTTGTTATAGGTAGAGTATCTCTGCCTCTGTAATATTCCAACCATGAATAAAGGATGAAAAATATTTTTAATACTGATCTGTCTAGATGTGATCAAAGAATAAATAACTTTCTATGGTTCTGTCAGTACTTACAGTATATTTAATAAAACCTTTTTTATGTGTAGGTTTTTTCTACCATCAGCAATTGGTTTGTAACCATAGCAACAGATTTGTACAATTTGTATTCTCATATTTATTAGGCTTGTTACAGAAGATGAGAAAGTCTTGATTTATTACACATTAGAAAATTCCAGAATTTATCGTGAAAAGCAGCCACAGTACATAGAGATTCCAGTCGAGGTGAGAATTAATAACAGTAAGGACTGGTTCATACTAGTCTGAACTGGTTTAAACTGGTTCTGGGTGTCTGATTTATAGTAAATTAGGCTAGTGACAATCAGTTTTACTTTCTATCACTGGTAACACATACTAAATTTTTTTTCTTTAATAAAAATTAATTTACCTGTCTTGTCCAGTTTACTGAGATCAGTTACTTCCGATTGAGATTCGTCAATTGCAGTTTCCTCTCTTTATTTTTATGATTTGCTCACTGTGTTTTTTTCAAAATTTAGGCTGCACCAGCAGTTGAGTATTTACTACATCGGTATCCTGAGTACGTCAATATCGGTAGTCTACCATTGGACGAAATGCCAGACAAAGTATGTAACACAATATTGTCTATTAACACACTGCAAACAAAATTACCACAGTTGCTTTGATTGGGTCATATTTTATCAAATTGATAAATATTGATTTTGGTTCAATGGCGAAAAATTGATAATCACTAGCTAATTTGTAGCCTCTTGCATCTAATTACCATACTCCATTTAGTGGCTTCTGGCACCATGGCAACTGTGTTATCATAATCAGCAGACAACCACAATATGTTTAACAAATCAGACATTGAAAGGTTAGTTCGTTTTAGGCTGCTAGTTCTATACAGCATCATAGAGATGTTAATAATAAATTATCAACAATTAAACAATTTTGTCTCTCTGATGTAAAATTAGTCACCAGGACATGATGCATAATTTGCATTTGCAATGATATGTCAGGATTTATTTTATTACACATAATTTGCTACATATAATTTTTTTTGTGATCTCATTTCTTAATTTATCTTATAGTTGAGAGATTAAAATTTACAAAATATATTAAACTATTTGTTTATATTTTTTCCCACAGCAAGTTGAAGTAGCCCAGCTTCTCTATGAAAGAGGCATCATTGTTACAAAGGAGTTATTACAACCATTAATATAGATCCTTAAGTCACCATCTTTAGTTATATGTGAAATAATAATTTTGTCTTTTTATTAATTTAGTATGATAGTTTTTGGTGAATTACAAAATAATTTGTCAGATTTTGATAATGATTTAATGAAGGTAGATATGATTTTGATACTGTCGGTAAAAGTGGTAATGGTGTTGCAGATGGAGACTCTTTTTCATTTTGGTGTCTCTATTATCATTGTGATTGGCTGTGACTTAAACTGAACATTTAAATTCGACCACCGTAATACCAAATGGGGATTGTGCATCGTCAATGCCCCTTAAAATAAAATTATGAATCAGCCCCTGGTTTCTACATATTTTTTGCCTTTGTATATTGTTGGTGAATAGTGATTGATGGTACAACAAAGAGTTTACATTTGCTGTACGCATGTGTTAATTGCCCACAACCTGTGAAATTGTCAATACCAACCAAATCTCAGTACATAACTTACTACAGAGGTACGGTAAATTTGATTTAAATAAGACTAAGTACTTAGAATATTGGTCTGTTCTTTGAATAAAGTGCCATTCTGTCTAGATTTGTAACAGCTTTATATTGTTTTTCTCATGAAGATAACTTTTGTTTCTTGATAAGCAGGTGTACCATGAATTTCAAACTTTATTTTTATTTGAAAGAGTTATATTTTAGCCTAGAGTCCATATATTTTTTAATTTGTTTTTAATTTATGTTTGAAATTAAGTTGTACTGAATTTGGAGTTATTATGTACTATTGTGTTCATGGGCCCTTAAATACTTTCAGTACTACATTATGTGGACTTGCTCAAGTCTGGATGATTTATTTTTGTTTTTTTACTATAAATTAGCAAAATATAGTTTCTCAAAATTGGTGACTTGATTGCGAAATGATTGTGTACATGCAAACTCATCCAACTGCTATAACCCACTTCATCCTTGCATGTATACCGGGGTATATAGTAATGAGTTCCATTGACTGACAAATTTGATCAAATTCCGACAATTCATTCATTTTAGTGATCCTCTCGGAGAATTTCACAATCAAGTCACCAGTTTTGTAAAATTAGATTTTACTTATTTATTGTGAAAAAACAAAAACTAATCACCCTGACTGGATTGTACACATGTGTTAACAAATCTATGGTCATAATAATACGTAATGATATTTGAATTGAAAACTGGAGACAATATTTCTACTGCATTGTACAAGATATAATCATGATTTTCAATTGTAAATATTTATTAGGCTAATTTGCATATTATTGCATACATTAATAGTACTATCTTAGCAACAAATGTAATATAACTGAATAGGAACTTTCTCTGAAGCTAGCGTGATATTTGAGAATGATTCCGTGCAAAATATTTAGATTAAAAATCAAAGGGTTGTGATTGATGTATCCAATATAGGTATTGTATTCGCTCTATTGAAAGCGCACATAACACAAAATAAAGGTATTTAGGGTTTGGCAGACGTCAAAACACCTCTGTAATATTGTACTTGCATGCACTACTAAATAGAGCAAATAGTGTGTTTGGATATGGGTCAAATGTACATGATCACCACCCTTAATATAAAATTATTATTTTTTCTTAAACATTTAAAAAAATGGGATTCTCATCCCGAATTAAATCCTCATTAATTAGAAAATTAATTAGGTACGTTTTAAATTGTATAAACTTCTAGATCAGTTCAATATCTGCATAAACATTTAATCATGAATGCTGACAAATGATTTTGTCAAAAATGAGCAGGTGTTTACGTCGTTTATTTTCTGTGTACTTTTCAAGTAATGTAGGAAATTTATCCAATAGACAGTAATAAATTTAGTGCATGACTTCAACATTTTTTTCTGTAATATGAAATTTAAACTGGTTGTTTATATTACTACATGTATGAACTATAGGATTTACTGTTGAATTACTTGTTTATCGTTAATTCAAAAGTTAGAGACAAATTGATATGCTCTAATAAACGCACATGTAAAACCTCATATTTTATCAATTTTAGGCTTGATAACGTCAATACATGGGCAAAACTTTGTTATAATAGTCAAATTCGGTACTATTGATAAGTTGTTTAGATTTCTTTTTTGCAAGATAGTATTTATGAAAATTCTGCATTTTTTTGACTAGTCAGCAGTTTTGAAGAATAGCCTTTGGTTCTATGCATTCCACATAGTTCTAAGATCCTATATGTGATGAATATGAGAGATTCCTGGGGACGTCACTGTTACCCAATCCAACATCCTATATGTGATGAATATGAGAGATTCCTGGGGACGTCACTGTTACCCAATCCAACATTCTATATGTGATGAATATGAGAGATTCCTGGGGACGTCACTGTTACCCAATCCAACATCCTATATGTGATGAATATGAGAGATTCCTGGGGACGTCACTGTTACCCAATCCAAC